CTCTGTCTGGAGCACGGAGATCTCGCAGGGTTTCTCTGCCTTGTGGTTCTGATCATCACACCCATAAGTCTCACCTTCTTCAGGAACATAATCTTCAAGATCCTCCAAAGTTAGTACTTTGCCATTGTGGGTTAAGATCTTGCGGTCCCGGGTGCTAATGTCATCTGGCTGTAGTTCCTCTGGTTCATCAACTATAACGACATTATCCTCTTCTGGAAGGATATCTGGCATTACTTCGGGTACCCCCTCTTCAACAGGCCAAGATACGTCTAATTCATCTACCTCTTCCTTAACCTCTGGACTCACTGGTGAGAAGAGAAGTTCATGCTGGTCTGCAGCAGCTGTCTCAAAACTGAAGGTCAAAGGCTCACCCCCGCAGGCAAGCAGCGGGGAAGCAACGTCTGACCTGTAGTGAGGACTTGTTACCTGCGGGAAGCTCTTTCCTTCGGTTCCGCAATCCATAAATGAATTATTTCCTAGTTGATCAGACCCACACGGGGAGCTTCTGTCTTCGCTGCTGACTTGAGGCCCTTCCTGCTCGGTTGCATACACCAGGGGCTGGGTATCATCTTCGGGGAGACCATCATCAGGCAAAGATTTTGACTGTTCCACCAATTTATTGTTGGAGTTGTTTGTGTTTGGATCATCTTCTGGGGAACGCCTAGGCCTTGGGCTGGGAAAAGTGAATGTTAACACCCCCGAGTCATCTTTTTCTTGTTTTGCTGGGGAAGATCCTCTTTTCCTTGCAGGTTTTGGTGATTTTTTCACCTTGAATTCTATTATTTCTTCCACTTCAACCCATTTGGGCTTTTTCTCTTCCCCCTTAGCCTCTATGACAACATCTCCAGCTGCTGCTCCTTGCCTGTCCTCTGGTTCTGTGACAAAAAGCATGGGAACAGCAGACGTTGGTGTTGCCTCCTGCTCATGTCTGTGGACAGGCTGCCTGATCTTTGAAACATAAACTGGCTCTGGAGTTGGCTCCGCTCTCGGAGAGCGGGAAGGTGAATGACCTGAAGAGGAACGTGCAGGAGAAACCCTTCCCCTTTGTCTTGAGCTCTTCACCACAGTGGTTATCGTTTCCTCTCTGATGACAGAAAGGGTTGGAACGGAGTTGGCAGGAAGACGAGACTTTTCGGGGAGCCACACTCCATCAGCACATGCCATTGTTGGTCAAGGCGCTACAGTGGGGTTAGTTTTGTGAGCACTCCAGCTTTTGGTGAAGCGTGCCATTTTGGAAGGGATACACACGCAATGCACACATCCACATGCCCATCTCCACTTACTTGCTGATCCAGGGAAAACCTCAGTGCCCTTTCCCCCAGGTGGACCCTAGCTCCATTAACCTCTTTGAATGCATGAACACACAGTGAGTATGTCCAGCTGAGATACGTTCTTCTGGATGCTGCTATATTTCATGTCCTTGTGTTGACCACCTACTATGCTACTTTGGACCCACATAGCAGTTTCACCCAAAGATTTTAGACATTCAAGGAGATGAACCTATGAACCTTTTCCTGAGTATCCTTGGCTCAAATCTTGGATTCAAACAACTCAATGGCAAAATGCTCTTTATTACAGCAGGGTCAGCAGCTTCCTCTTTTATACTAAATATAACATATCTCTGTGTTTTTTATTAAAGACTCTTTTGAGACCAGAGATCTGCATTTTCACATGCAGAACAGTTACATTAAAAGGGAATTAAGCATTTGGAGACCTGGAAAACAAAGTTAGAACATTTCCTGCACAAGTCATCTATGCCAAAATGTACTTATTTTTTCTCTTCATAATATCATTATTGCAGACACAGCCTGATCTTACTACCACCGATCGACATCTGGGATGCATGATTATAATTTCTCAACATATTTCTGCTGGCCTTACTTTAGATTTTTTGACATAGTCAAAACAGTTGGAACTTCTCAGCATCCCCTGTACAAATACATAGCTTGTATCAAAAGAATTTTCTGCTCCCATCATAGGACAAACTTTGACTTTAAATGAGCTACAGACAAAACTGGATCAAATAGCTTCAAAATCTGGGGACAGGAACATCTAAATCCAGACTTCAATGCTCTTAGTTTATATGTTTAACAAGGAGTTTTTCCTGCAGATTTTTCAGTGGCATTTCTTAACATGGGAAAACTTGAAGGTAAAGACAGTGTTTTGCTTTGGAAGCACAAGGAAGCTGATGCTCTACAGCAGAGGTAGCTGGCTCAGTGGAACTAACAGGCAAAGTTGATTTTGTTTCTGTGTTGAAATTCTGTCTTCACCTCCAAGCAATGTGATAAAAAAAGAATCAACTGAAGGGTAAAGACAATGACTCGAAGTGGGAAGGAATGATTGTGAATCAAGACAATAGCTTTTTTGTGTCTCTTTTTCTCCTCACCAGCCTCTAGTCACAGCCACATGGGGCTGAAAGCCAACAGCTCTACTCTCCAGCCATCTCTGCTCTGGCTTTTACACTGAGATACAGAGAAGGGTAGAAGGAGTCCTTGTGAAAGGAGAGCCCATTTCTCCTATTGCATTTGTCTAGCCATGATGGAAGACTAATCCTCTTAGATTAGTCATCATAGCTTTTCTCATCTATGGGTCTAGTTTTTGGAGACAGGTATTGCCTTCTCCTGTGGAGGTCGGATTTTTTTCCGCCATCGATCTCTCCCTTTGAGGATGCAGTGAAGTCCAGGACTGGATCAGCTACAGTGAGATTTACTTTCTTCAAGAGCACCCTCTCTTCTCTTGCTCATTTCACAGAATTATGGAATGGTTAGGGTTGGAAGGGACCTCAAAGATCATCTAGTTCCAACCTCCCTGCCATGGGCAGGGAAACCCTCAAATTTCCACTGCCTTACTCTTTGCCCCAGGTTTTCTGAAGTTTTGCTGGAGAGCTTTAAGGTCTACACAGAGCCTTCACAATGGCCATGATGCCTTTCTGAATTACACTAAACTAAATCATTTTAGACAAAGAGGAGGATGAATCCACATGTGCTTGCACTAGGCTTTGCTCTACATTGCAAAGTTAAAATGCTGCTTTGGGTCTGGGATTTGCATACACAGACATTGCTTAATCCCATCTCTAAATTATCTGCTACTTTCTGCTGGTAGTTTCAAAGCTGCTTCTGTTCCTCAGCTCGCTACGCATTAAGGAGAGCTGGAATGTGCCCTTAGAGAGTTGTTCCCAAACTTTATCCCATCACTATCCCAATTCCAGCCAAGGTCCACACTAATGAGTTCATGACCACATCCACTAGCAAAAGGAAGGAAATTTCTGTTGTTCTGAGATCCCACTCGTAAATGTACCAACCTCCTTTGGGGCTGCAGCCCTTAATTTAGGAATCACTTGAGCTGTCCAAAGCAAGAGTCTCTGCAATTTACATGTCAGAAATTTAAAAATCAGCTTAACTGCTGATATTTTGTATTTTAATTTTCTTTAATAATTTAACGTTATTTAATCAACCAATATTAATGCTGCTGCTTGTGATCTGAGATCATGAAGGGAAAAGGAGGGCTATTAGCTGACTGAGGAGAGATGTAAAATAAAAGCCTCTTTCCAGGTGATTTACAGGCACAGAGATGTAGAAAGATGAGATTTACTAAGCTTTAGATATGGTCTGGCTCTGGGTGTTTCCTTCCTGCTCATGACTTTCTTGGGATGTTTCTGAACTATAAAAAAAAGCCATTTCTCTGTTTAGCTACCCCAGCTACCCGGGGGGTCCTTGAGATGGTATAGGCAGAAACGTCTTTGTTTTCTGGTCTTTGTAGGGTAAAAAAGTCTAATGACTGAAGTTGTTAACTGAACTGATGTGCTGAAGAGAGAGGGGCAAAGGCAGAACCCCTTCCTGCCTCTCCTGTCTGCTCTTTGCCTACTCAAGGTGGAAGTTGCTAGGAGGGGGGACATGTCTTCTGATTAGCCATTGGCTCCAAATGGGCTAAGTGCATGGGTCGTAGCTAACAGTCATCACAGGAAATAAGAAAAGAGATAAAAGGCAAGCAACTTTTAACTCTATTTTAGCTGTCATTTCGCCCATCCTTCTCACCATGTAACGAAATTAAAAAATTCCATTTTAGCATCACGTCCAAGTCAAGGACCGATTTTAGCAATATTACAACTGTTGAGGGAGTGCATTTCCCAAAAATATCCATTGTATAGTCACATAGTACCATTAGGACATGATTTGAATAGCTTAGAGATGCTCTGAAGGCCTGCCACAGAAGGACAATGTCCCCCTTCCAGTGCATGAAACAATTTCATTATGTATTTGTTTATGATACTTAAAACCAAGAAGAAACTTTAAGATTGTAATGGCTTCTGGTCTCCATATGACTGAGAAAGTATTGCTTTTTGCTGCAGTTAATCTTTACAAGTAATAGACACCCAATATAAACCAGGCTCAAAGCATCCAAAAAACCCAAGTCATTATCAGGGCAAAATTTCATATTAGAAATATAGAGACAGAAGGGAACAGAAATGTGCATCTTCCTTCTGCTTCATCATAAAAGGGTTGTCTGAAAATTTTAAAACAGAAAGCCAGGAGAAATCACTGTAAGCTACGAGATAGTTGTTATGTTTGTACATATTTTTCAAATAGTTCTCAGAGCTGGTTTATTTTCAACACCGAGAGTCAGACTCTACCTTCTTGAACTCTTGTGCAACTCAGGCAGTATTTCAGTGGAATTTTTTCCACACGTAATATCCTAATAAACTGACCCAGGCTGTGTCTAACACCAGTGCTGCTATTTTTTTGAAAGGGATGGTAAGATTATTTTTTTTCCCAGGTGGTCACTTTGCATAGCACAGAATACCATGAGATCTGGTGGGATGGGAATGAACACACTTGCATGGCCAATAAAGACAAGCTTGTTATTGGATCATGCATAGGCAGCAAGGCAAAACACGAATGTTACGAAAAAAATAAATAATCAGCACTTACATGATGATGGTTTTCTTGGGCACTTTAGTCTCTTGTTCAGTGACTACAAAGAAAACAGTATGAACAGCATGGGGTTAAAGAAAGGCAAAAGCTGAAATGATTAAATTAACTTTGCTCAGTTAATCAAAATAAACTGGAGTGAAAAAAAAATCAACTAGTACCATCCCATCCATGCTTTCTGTGGTTATTTCCAGCATCATCTTTAGTGTTTCTGACCAAGAATGAGAATTCAGAGTGCTCTCTGAACAGTGAATGATTCAGTTTAGAAATTAAATATTTTGTGGAGAACAATATTGCAAAATCTGCTTATTCTACCATGAGATTCTGACATTTTTGTTTGGCAGGTCAAAACTAGAAAACAAGGTCCTTTTTTTTTAATTTTTTCCCTATAATAAGGTAGTGATGGTGTGAGAAACCTGAAAATGTCTTGATCTGGAAAATTCTGGAGAGATGAAATGCTTTAAACTGTGATTTCACTTACTGGAAAAAGTTTCCCCAAACACTGAACAATTTTCAAGCTTTTGTGGACTAGATACAAAATCCAAGCTGATAACAATGAAAAGGAGAATCATTATCATCAGTACAGAAAATTAGCTTAAAAAAAAACAACTGGGAAACCCAGGAGAGCCCTGTAATACAGCTATGTCTACTCCATCTCTTTTTTGCTCTAATTTGCAATTTTTCCTGACCCTTTCCCCTTAACAAACTAGAAGCTGTTGGTACATACCAAGATCAAAAGAAAAGTAATGATTTAGTGATTTTGCGAATATTTCTCAACATGGACATTTTTAAAAATATGAAAGATACCATTTGAAGAGCTAATAGAGATTTTCAGCAGGTTCCCATCCTATCTACTGAACTAAAATTAAGACACTGTTTGAACCAGACTCTTTTGAACATGCTCTGAACTGCTGGACCTATTTGGGATGTAGAAAAAACAACAGCAAGTCCCACTTTTTATTTAATAAACTAGCAAAGTTTCTAAAAAATCTTAGTTTAATCTCAAAGTAATTTTTCTAGCAATTGGTTTGCAATCTTCCAGCCAGTCTATAATAAATAAGCTCTGGTAATTTTCAGTTGGCAAAACTGAAAGTGAACTGCAACTTAAAAATATGTCTATAAAATCAGAAACAGTTCTTGCCCAGGGAACTTGTAGTGTCTGAGTTATTTGTTTAATAACTTATGATTAGTGCTGATGTTTCCAATAGTGTCCCAAAACTGCACTTACTGAAAATTAAAAATACATTTGCAATATTAGATGGAATAGTTTAACCTAATTTTCCTTCCACTTAACTTCGAAGGGCTCTCTTCTGCCTCTAGGTAAAACAACAAATCCCACCATAATGAAAAAGAATTTTGTGCAACTGTCAATGTTAATATCTGACCTGGAGCTCTATGTTTTCTTTGCAGAGCCTTGTCTCATTTATGCATGTAAAAATCTGGAATAATTTCCAATGGAGTCAAAAGAGTTACTGCAGAATTAGGTAGATTTAAACAAAATCTGTTTGAAAATTAGAATTTATAGCTTACCAGGTAAGTAAAGGGCAAAATTCCTTTCAATTATTTATCTCTGAACACAATTACAAGATAACAACTTACCTATCCTTAGTTAATGTTTTTTAAATAATTCAAAACCTTTTTTTCAATGGTGGAATGATAATTATACAATGATGAAAGATGAACTGAGTGCTCCAACCATTTGCTGCACCCAGGTTAGAAATTTCCACTGAGTTTTTAAACTCTTAAATCAATATTGTGAAATTTTTACATAACTTTCAGAAAAATCTCATCCGATAATATCACGAGATTAATCCATAAGCAGCAAGAGTCTAAGTTCTGATGTAAATAGGAATTAATTTGTTTATACACCTAAACATGGATGGTTTTTACAGTTATTTTAATGACTGTATTTACGTGATAATTAAATATGTCTTTAATGAAATCCCCCAACGTCTGTAAGAGGGAGTCTCTTTAATATTTAATTTATTAATGCCTGTTCTTGCAGTACTCCCAAATGACACCACTGCAATATTTCCATATGTAGCAGGTGGGATTCAGTATTCACAAGTCCAGCAGGCCTGGGATGAGAAAGCTGTAAATGGCATATGGTACCTGGGTCCTGACAACTCGCAGTTTAGTGCGTGACAGATTGATTTCACGTGTGCTATCTGAGGTGTGAGGGAGGATTTAAGCAATCCTATACGAAGGATAGAACCACATGAAAGTAGGATGAGAGAATTTGGGTGGTTTTTTTGTTTTGTTTTGTTTTGTTTCCGAGAGGAAAATATTCTGCATCCGTTTCAGCATCGGATTTATCATTTCAACTTGTTCAAGAGCATTTTAGGAAAACAGCTTTGCAAAGCAGGAGCCCCTGATAAGCAGGTTAAAAGCTGTAAGCATTAGGATCAGCCAGTGCTTCTATAGGACTAGACTCCTCTTTGGTTAATACGTTAAATCATTGACTTACAAGTGATGAAACATTTAGGAAAAGTCAGGTTTTGTTGCTCTGAATGGACGAAAGGTGGTTTATGGCCTTTATGACAAACTTTAAGTCTGCTTTCTCTACTCACAGAAGCATAAACCTATTTTTCCTGCACAGTACACGCTGCTGGAAAAACCACAGGAGCACTGCTCTGCTTTCACTCCTCTTCTGCTACGCTTCAGAGATTAATCTGCAACAGGGGATGCACAAATGTGACATGAACTCCTAAAGATAATCTTAAAACGAGCATTTCATGGACATAACACTGTTTCCTAAATTGTGTGAATAAAATGCAAGTGTTCTGCACTCTCTCTCTCAAAAAAAAAAAAAAAAGGCTCCACTCCTGTAGTGACTGGGGGTTGTAAAGGCAGATTGTGCTGTCTTGAATTTGCACTGAAAACCACGTGGCCAGCCCAAAAACGAGACTAAGCGAGGATGACGACAAAATTAAAATAGTGAGATAAAGATCCTGACCATCACCCTAACTAGGGAACTTCAAAAACGTCAGGGGACAAACTCCTGTGCCTTGTTTCTCCAGTAAAAGGGTAGCACTGAAATCCAATGCTCCTCTGTGCTTTAATCTGCTTGAGAGCCTGAGAATATTTAGCTTTTCCCTGCAAGGTGGGTATTACCAAACGAGGCGACCAAATAACTTGCCCAGAGCTCTGCACAAGAGCTGAGGCACAACTGTGAAGAGTTTCCAGTTGCCTGGCTGTAACTGCTCTGTTTTTCTTTATGGTTTTGCTTGTCTCCACTTGTGTAGCTGACTCCTTCCCCTACCATCAACTACCTCATTATATGTCCTGGACCTGTCTGCCCAGGTGGGAATGCAACACCTTTTAAAAAACACTGGGTTTTGTCCTAAAAAATGAACAAGTTAGTGAGCCTGGGATGAACGAACTGCGATAGTAACATGTTAAAAAGGGATGCCAGAGCACGTCAGCCCAGATCTGCCATCTGCAGGTTAAGCAGCAAGGTGCGAAGCAGACAGTCAACTTGAAGTCAAAGAGAAGGATCTTCTTTCGGTTACACTTTTTTTTTTTAAAGTGTCTAAAATTCATCGAATATCCACAGCAAAAGGATTTTTAAAGCAACTCTCCATTGACTTCAGTCCAGAGACCAGGTGTAGCTGAAGACCCAACTCAGCGTTTCAGGCTTGCAGCCCAAGCTGTGGGTGCTTGCAAGGGGACCCCCTTAGTCCAGTGGTTTCCATCCTTTTTGGATTTGGTCCTTCCAACGGATCAGCAAATTCCCATGGTGTGAATTTAAACTTAATGACAAGAAGTTGGATTTTGAGACCCATGGTGTTGGACTGTGGACTCCATAGTGTGAATTTAAACTTAATGACAAGAAGTTGATTTTGAGACCCATGGTGTTGGACTGTGGACCATCACTGACTGCAGGTCAGGGCTCATAAACCACTGTGCTAATGGTATCCCAGACTGTGACAGTAGGTTTCGTTCAGTATAATAAACAGTAAAGAAAGGCAGGAGGATAAAAACTAAAATAGTTGCAACTAATGCCCCTTGGGTGCCTCAGAAGACTGACAATATTTCACAGAACCAACGATAAATCAGGTAAAACTTAGACCCACTGTGTGGGTGAGCTAGGAAACAAACGCAGTATCTATTTTCTGTACCACACAGCAGTAATGTTGTCCTCTTGGTGAAGCTACAAATGATCCCATTTTCACAAGTAGAAAGGATTGTAAGGATGGAAAGATAAAGCCTTCATAAGATCCATCCGTCCTCCAGTTCTTTGCCAGCTGAACTTGATTTTTCCATAGGTAGATCAAAGCCAGGTAATGATTCTCAAGAAAACAACGAACTCCCTCCTTGGTCAAGTGCACTACACAAATGCATCCCTGATGTGATTCTGCTGAGAACAACCCTCTTGCTCCATGGATGAACCTGCTCTTTGCTCTGCTGGCCTGAAGCAGCTTTCTCTGTTTCTCCCTGGAGGTGACTCAGGGATCTATTTCCTTCCCTATTGCCAAGCTCAAGCAATTGCACATCACGAATCAAAACCTATTTCATAACATTTCTGAAGCTTCCAGGCAAACTGCAATTATATTTCTTCAACCAAGCTCATGGAATTTTTATTTACGACTGCAGGAATAACAGCACAGGAGTAATTCAGGGCTGAACATATACATTTGCAGCCTCAGGAGCTGAACAATGCTCCTACCACTGTTGGACAGCCCTTGTTTGTTTTTGTAACATCTTCTGCCTTGGTACAAGGCAACTTCATCAAGATACGTCACCCGAACAGTGATTTGTTTGTGTTCCTCTACATCCTGCATACAACTTATTTTTCTCTCATTAGGGCATAGAAAGGAGAAAGAATTCAAGTACTTCAACGTTTATCCTGCTGAGACAATTGTGGTGTTGCTACACTAATACCATTTTCCCTGTAAAGCTTTTGAATGAGTTGATGGTACTCTGGGAAAGGACTACAAGGAAAGCAAGCATAAAAACAAGAAAAGCAAATACATAGATCAGGATACTAATCTTATTATCATTTCTGGATCTTCTTAATGTAACAATATTACATTAGTGTCTACAGAGGACTGGCCCAAAGGTCCATCCAGACAAGGACTCTGTCTCAGACAGGGCCAACAGCAGAGGCCTATGGAAAATGATGAAAAAAAATGAGTGTGGAGTACCTTTTCCTGAATATTTCTCTAGACTCCAGTCTTCTGCTGCTCAGCAGCTTCTTGAGTCAGAATGACTTTGTACTTGATGGCTCTCACTTGAATGTTGATAATAACAATTATCCCTTGTCAAAAGTACACTTGAACCCGTGTAACTATCACAAGACAAGGTGAAAACACTAAAGATGAGGAAAGAAGGTCCTACAGCTGTTGGCAAACCTCTGGCTTTTAGAATCATCGAATCACAGAATGGTTAGGGTTGGAAGGGACCTCAAAAGATCATCTAGTTCCAACCCCCCTGCCATGGGCAGGGACACCCTCCACTACACCAGTTTGCTCAAAGCCTCATCCAACCTGGCCTTGAACACTGCCAGGGATGAGGCATGGACATTTTGTTTGGCTGTGTCTGCACTAATCACATCTGGGACAGCTCTCTGACACTAAGATTCACTGCCATGGAATGACCTATCTTAGTCATCTCTCTTACCCTCCAAACCAGTAAGCTATCTGTTACCTGTTAGAAATGGTCCCCTGGGTGTATTATCTCCTGAACCAATGTTGAGAACTGTTTGAGAGAGGCAGTGCTGGCTTGCCCATGCTCAGCCAGCCAAGGACACTTCTACAATGTAAGAAGAATCAGTTTCCTACACCAGGACATGTTCCTTACACAGATGTAGCAACTGATGGAAATTCAGTTGTGATGGCTTTATAGCAAGCCTGTCTAACACACTGCTGGTGGAAATCCTTTTGATAAGAAGGTAACTTTAGGCAGTTGCATCCTAAAGATGTCAACAAAGAGATGCGTTGTTGGATGGCTGTAAAATTGGTCCATAGTACCTTACCAATTCAGGTGGAAAATGCAGAAAAAAGCAACAGACTATGACTATGTGGCGTGTAATACCTGACCAGTCCTAGATAATGGATGAACTGATATTGCTCAAGATATACTGCTGTCAGTTCTGCTTTCTCAGTCGTTCCAGATGGTCTTCAGTGGTGTTTCAGAAATGATCACAGTATGCCTGCAGTACGTAACTCATGTTCTGCCAGGCTGACACACGTTTTCAAGTATTCCAACAGGAACAGAAACATTTGTCTTGCACTAGTGGTGGTGTGACATACCCTTCATTTGCTCCTCCTTTTTCATATAATGCATTTATGAACATTATATGATGAAGTTGATTTGCCAGTTTGGAAATCAACAGATGGTGATGGGTACAGAGCTGAGTTGCAGTATACCCATGCACATCTCAATAGACATACAGATACGTGAACACCAACAATCAACATGGATAAGATGGCAATTATATTCGATCCTCAACGAGATGGTTTTAGAGCAATTCACTGACATACTTACAGAGCTGGTCAAGGACCATACCTTCTATGGTAATGGCTTGGTCTCCTCTCCTCTCCTGGGTCAGGGCTGCAGCGCTGTGATGGTAAAGTTCTGCTCCACTTTTTGCAGACCCTAATCTGTTCACCAGCTAAAGAGAATCACGGAGTACTGAATGAAATGCAGGATGTTTTTGTATAATAAAACCTTCCCATACCACATTACAAACTCATGGCAATTACAGGACAACAGAAATGGGTGAAAATGTGACCCCAAACCTCAGTAGGGCTACACGGTGGTAGAGTTCATGATAATGCTTTACCACAAATGGCCCTTTTTTTGTTTGTAATCCATTAATCAACTGAGTCTTACACAGCTAAGGGAATACTGGACCTTGGGATCTTAGCTAATGGCAAACGCAAGGTAATGTGATTTTGCTAAAGCTCTACTAGAAGTCCTTAAATTATATCAAACTTCCTAAAAATTTCTGTGGAATAACTGCGAAGTTGCTGTGAGATGAGTCTTTTACCATGGGTCAGCTGACCCATGCTAATTTCCTAAATCAAGGTCAACTGGTTTTATTGCCGAGCCCTGAGAGCTTATTACTATTTTATTATAATGGATGCATAGACTATGACTAATTTTTAGTAAATATTTTGCAGCACATTCATTTTAATTTATTAGATACTTCCATATATGTTTGCTAAATAAACTGGCATTTCAAGGGTTTATGCTTCCATTTAGATTTCATTTCTTTGTTTTGGCTTCAGATGGTTTCTTTGCAGATGTATTAATCTGTTCTAATTTAAAGACAGTCCAGAAACAAAACGTCATGTCAGAATGTTCCTAAACTTTGTGAGAAGTATCTCTAGAGATCTGGATCTGAATTTAAGCGACAGAACAAGCTCACTCAATTACTATTTGAGCCACCAAGTTCTCAGATGAGAATATTCTGAAGATTTTGGATGTTCATAATCCAGATCTAGTTCAGGAGAACCTGACTTTGTATAAACTTCTTTGATATGGCAGGTGGCAGCAATTACTCAGCCACTATTCTCATCCAATGGATCTCTCTCAGTAAAATGAATTCTCCTACCTACGTCGTGTCAGACAGCAGCTCTTTAGATCTCTCCGAGCTTACCTCACATTCATAGTGTCCCATATCTTCATTGGAAGGGTTCTTGACCACCAGGACTGTTATGCCACTCCGTGGTTCACTGAAAGTCTGGTATTTACTTGTGTCTTTCAACAGTAGACTGTCTTTGTACCACCTGCATGTGGAAAACACTGAGTCTAAGCCAGGAAAAACATCTGTAACGTCAAGAAGTCCCCAGCTCACTGACCCATCTATCAGACCAGTGGACAAACAACTCAAGAGTTAACCTTTGGATAAAAGTTTGGATCCTGGAAGATGGGTCTACAGGTGGGTAGATCACACGTGGACACTAAACTGCCCAGGTTTATGATATTCTTCTTGAAAAGTCTCATGTAGGCAAAAGGGCTTCTAATCATGCAATGCCGTGCTGAGCCTTTTGTCCAAATACCCCAAACCAGTTGCTGATAAAATAAATGCAAGTGTAAGGCAGGGAGGATAAAGGAATGGTAAAACGTTGTCGGAGTATTAGATCTGATGCAGTCCTATGGCAGATACCAGCTGCAGGTATTTCTTTTCAGATGCTAGCTAGAATCTGAGGAATGTTGGGATTGGGAAGAGCCAGCACTGGGATGAGATTAAAGTGGAAGACAGAAACAAAGGGTAATAAACTTGGAAGAAAGGGTAGAAGGCTCTTCTGACCATGCAAAATGGGAAAACAGGATTTGTTCCAGTGTGACTCGAAGAACTGACCTGATTTGAGGCCTAGGTGCTCCTTCGATAGTACAAGTAAATTGAGCATCTTCACCCTCCACAAAATAAGCATTTCTAACCTTGTTCGCAAACCGTGGTGGCACTGCAAAACAAGGATAAATGTAGCTAGTAGCTGGAAATATGACCAGACATGAAGGGTGTGTCCCTGACCAGACAATTCTCATCATTATTCACCAACAAGACTTTAAAGATCACATTTTTTCACCTAAGAACAATTGGCTACAGCTGTACCTCAAATATTTTTTTTTTAAAATTTTATCCAGTAGATGTTATACAGAACTTCTGGAATGTCTTAATATTCATGTTTAAGGTATGATATAGCAGACCCCTTTAAAACAATGCATCTGTGCAGGACTTTACCTTGAACAAGGATCTTTCCTAAGGTACTGGCATTTCCAGCAGGGCTAGAAGCAAAGCACATGTACTGTCCTGAGTCAACACCTGTTAGGTTGTCCAAGATCAACGTGCAGGAACCGTCGGGATCTTCAATGATAATATGATGGGGATCCACCTCCACAGGCTTTCCATCTTAAAAGATAAAGGGGAAAAATTCATCGTGAAGATTTTAGTGCCAATTATATTTTCTCCTTGGGAATTTCATCCAGCTTTTCAGCTTGAGAGGACTGAGCGCTGTATTTTCTTTATTGAAGATGATGTTGGTAGTTGAGGAATGAGCTCTTCATCTTCCTCCAACTCTCTACAAAACATCCTCTGGGCGAAGCACTGTTGAGGGACCTCATACATATCAATCCTCATTTAAAACTGAAAATGTCCAAGAGTATGTGCTGTGCAGTTACAGCTCTGATGTACTAGCCAAAGGAACACCTCCAAAGTGACTGTAAATATTCCAAACAGACCTTTACAAGGTGGGAACTGTTTTTTCTGCAACTGAGTAATGCTAGGGAAAAGAGTATGTCTGCACAGCTGCCTGTGCTGTGACACGGAAACATCTGAGCTCGTTGAAACAAGTTGTTCATTTCCTAGAAGTTGTCTAACTGCCACAAGATGTGGATTCATATGAGCTGATAAGCAAGCCTGAAAAAGCAGGGTGTATTAGCTCACAGGAAGATCTGCGCTACTTGGGTTAAGACTAGACTTGGGTTTCTCTAGGAGGTCAGCTTTTAGATGACCCATTAACCAATTAGCACAAGGCAATATAAATGGAGAACAAATTTGGAGGATGCGTTTCGTGACTTGCTGCTCATACCTTTGTACCAGCTGACAGATGGCTTGGGAGCTCCAGTAACTTTGCAAGCCAGCTTCACTGTCTCTCCCAGCTCAGCTGTACAGTCCGCCAGTTCTTCCTCAAAATCTGGAGGTACTGAAACATCAGAATAAACACGTTAGTCCGGAGGAGGGGGGCTTTTTCCATAGGACAGCTGCTGCAAAGCAAGATAAGAATAGGTATAATTTTTGCAAATCTGTGAGGTTCAGAATAGAAAGCTGAACAGGAAATTTTAGCAGCTAATGACTTTCCAGGTGGCATGCTGTCCTTGCCTATCTCAGACCAAATTCAGCTGTCAAATGTTTATTGTGGGCTATAAGACGGGCCGTAAGAAAAAAAAAAAAAAAAAGGGATTTGTTGCTGATTTGGAAGTATTTTAGGCCATGATTTTAATAAGCACATCCATTATTCAGACACCACACAGCTGTCACAGTTACGATAATTCCCCAATTAAATGCACCCTCAGTATCCAAAATTGTATTCTGTTGATCTCCATACAATAAAATCTATGCTTTGTTAAAGGGAATTCTATTTTAACTTATTACTAGTATATGAAACTATGTAAAATTATTCTGATAGTCTTCCTCATTAAAACACCTCTCTAAAAGCACAAAACCAAAATGCCCAGACTTTTTTTCAGTGTATATGCACTAAACTAAATTCTCTTCTGAGATTTTAAGATGCCAAATTTCCTTATGCTGTAAAGGACACTGTTTCTAGCTTATACCTGGACAATAAAGATCTAATATCCTTGCTGATAAATTTTGTGGCTAGAAAATTGGTGGAATCTCAAATGACAGTGAGGACAAAGCAGCCTGAATGACAAAGTAAAAATCCAAAGCAAATCCACGTGCCCTGACACGACAATGTAAGCCACAAGCCTGGAGCAGAGGATTTGGTAGGCAACAAAGTCACAGGGAGCTTTATACTGGGATCGTAGGACTCCAGGTCAGGTCCTGAGACTACTTTTCTCACTGGAGTCTGATGCTCTTCATGCAGTGGATCAGGAACTTTGTCACCAAGTTATGTGGTCATCTACCCTTCTGCAATCCCTGCCAGATCAAATGCATCTCTAGTGTCAGCTCTGCAATTTGTGTTTTAGAAGATCCAATAACGTGTTTCTCTTTTCCAGTGACACGTTTTATGGGCTGTTTTGCTGGAAAACAATATCCCCTACTTATTGACAAAAAGGTATGAATACGAAGACAAGGAGCTGAGCAACCACTTCAGCTTCTGAGTCTGATCCTCCACCAAAGGCAATCCACATCACCTGAAACAGCCAGGGACAGCCAGCTCTTCTCAGCTCATCAGCCTGTGTTTTCCACACTTGGGTTACAGACACTGAAAACTAATTAAAAAGTTACTCATCTGCTCTGGTATTCCCTCAAAATCTATACAGGTCCTCTGGGACCTCTGTGGTGCAAATTTAATCACTTCAGTGATACACAGTCTTGGCTCTCTTGATGGTAAATGGAGAGATTCGAACACCACTGTTCCATCCTGATAAAGGTGTCTTTCCAAGCTCAGGTGGAGGACCTAACCTGCAATGATCATTCCAGTTCAAGCTTGCTGTGTGCTGTCAAGTCACCTGAGTTGTTATGTACAGTAGTCTGTGATGTGATTAAAGGAAAGCTTCCAACCCGAGTTCACTTTGAGACGTGGCAGATGACCCTAGGTAGTTTCTCTCCCTCTTCTGCTAATCCCCTTCATGAATCAGGGAGATCACCCAAGAGAAAACTAGGTGTTTTGGGCTATCTTGGGCCATACTCACTCCAGACAGGCTCGCTGATCCGCTGTTGTATGCCACAGATCTCCTTCACCCAGGAGTTCTTGATATTCACTGTACGTGCCTGAAGGAGGTACTTGCGGACCAAGTCCTCCCGCTCGTGCCAGATCTCAAACGCCCGGTCATCTCCTTCCACAAGGTCGTTCACATCTATGTTGTTCAGCTGCGTGACCGAAGGAGGACAAGGAAGTCAACACACATCCTGCGTTCTGAAGGCAGAATTTCAGCCAGAACCTTTCCAACAACTGAAGTCCCAGAGTTTAGGACAGTTTAGATCTGGACCTAACCTTTGTGAACCAGAACCATCTTCAACGAAGGTTTGAAATGGAAACAACTATTAAATGCCAGCAAGTCTCCTGCTGCCAGTGCATTCTGTTCAGTGGACATGAGTTGTGGCATTCCCACTAGATCCATATTAGATGCTCCAACAGCAAAATGGACAATTTACATCACTTTTAAAGATTTTTCAGACTGTGTGAGCAACGCAACGTGGCTTTGGCTGAACAGCAGAGTCATTTTGTGATCTTTTCCCTGATATACTTGACTTTCTGGTTACCAAAGAGACTTTTTCCTGGGAGTAATTGTCACATTTCAGGAAAATAATATCCAGCATTAAAGGGTATCCCAAGGTGGGACATGTCAATGCTACAGTGCAGTGCTGTTGGGCTGATATTAGTACCAAGAAACAGCATAATTCAGAACTACATGAAAAGAAATTACAGGGCAGGTACTCTCAGGACAAAGCATCCTTTTTCCTTTTTTATTGGGACCTTGAGACAAAGCATCCTTTTTCCTTTTTTATTGGGAAATAAAATCTGCAGAGAGATAAGGACTTCTAGAAGGCCCTGAAAGGGCTTGGTCAAGAACTCCATGGAGTTTTTTGTCTATTTTTTTTACTGGAATTGAACATCTACTACCTTGAGAAAACTCTTTCTGCAATTTCTTGCAGTTTTAATCCGAGCCCTGAACATGTGAAGATAAGATGGACAAATCCTACGAATATTTCATTTCTAAACAGGAATTGGTATCAGGAAAGGACATAACCAGCAGAGAGAACCACTGGGAACATAGCATATGAATGACTAAACCATCATTTCCTCCAATTTAATACCAACACTACAGGCTACCAAAACCAAAGATCTACAAATGATAGATTCTACTTGTGCCTCAAAAACTTTTGGAAAAAAAACCAAATAGCTCAAAAGGATTCAAGAAATGTCCCATTTAGATGACCAGAAGCTGAATATAAACATGAAGTTCTCAATGGCAGAGGAATGCTCTAAGTGAGGATATAGTGATCAGACCTTCATGATGTTCTTGAAGATGTAACTGTAGGTGTCTGTCTTTGTGTCTCGCTTTGGTTTGCAGATCACAATATAATTTTTGAAGAGAAAGACATGTCTTTTGTGTCCTTTCCACGCCATTCTAGCTCCTGGAGCTCCTTCCCACACAATGAAGTGGCCCTGATAGGAAAAAGAAGGAAGAGCACATAGCAATAACTCTGGATAATTGCCACAACGATGTCTCACCATGATATTTCACTGAACAGATAACAAATGTTTTCTGTTCCATCGTCACCTTATGTGTCTCTGTTTTATTGCAGCACAGCAGATTGTTTCTAATGCTAAAGGTGATGAATCAGACTGACAGCACCCACAGGGATGCACACAGTGGCTGTCATTGCATTGTCCTTTAAACGGTATTATTTGTTGCCAGAAAAATACAGAGCTCTTGTCAGGTAGGCACACTCTTGGAAATGGAAATGCTAATGGAAAATTGTATTTTGTGTGTACGTTGGACACTTTATATGCTCACTTGGTCTTCTTCACCTGAGCAGAGCATTCATTTCACACACCTTCAGACACGTGCAGCTCAGTTAGTTAGTGACATGGGTTCACCTTGGCATCATTAGATAGCAGTAAGCACTCTTGGGGTGTGACTTGACTCTTTTTCGGATGTCTAAATGTGGATAGATGAATGCCCACAAGAGCAACACTGTATTTTAGCCTTACAACTTCACACAGCAACACACTGTGATTCCCAAGGAAGACATAGGATACAAACAGGCAGAGTAAATGACTTGCCAGCATGACACAGTAAGTCTACAAAGAAACAGGAATTTGAGTAACAGCTTTGAAAGTCCTAGACTACTGTCCTAATAGTTCATAGAATCATAGAATCATAGAATGGTTAGGGCTGGAAGGGACCTTCAAAGGTCATCTAGTCCAACCCCCCTGCAAGGAACAGGGATATCTCCAACTAGATCAGGTTGCTCAGGGCCTCGTCCAACCTGGCCTTGAACGTCTCCAGGGATGGAGCATCCACCACCTCTCTGGGCAACCTGTTCCAGTGTTCTACAACTCTCATGGTAAAAAATTTTTTCCTAATATCCAATCTGAATCTACCTCCCTCTATTTTAAAACCATTACCCCTTGTCCTATCACAACAGGCCCTCCTGAACAGCCTCTCCCCATCTTTCTTGTAGGCCCCCTTGAGGTACTGGAAGACCGCTATGGGTCATCTTTCCTCTGTGGTCCTAAACCACACGTCTGTTTCATGAGAGAGACCTGGAGGAGCACGCAGGTCTTTTGAAGATACGTTAACAGCTGTGGGAGAACATCCATCAGTTGATCTAACATTTTCACATGGAGCACATGCAATGTATGCTACACTACCTTGTACCGACTTGCCTGGCAAACTAGGCTTTTCAAAAGAACCACGTAAATTTGAAAATTTGTGGGCTGAAAAGGTTCAGTGAGCTTACAACACCCGAGGAATCAACAGGAGAAACCTACTGATGCTGGTAATTTCAGGAGTGGGCCCACGAAGTTTGCCAATAATAAAAGAAGTGGAGGCAAAACCAAAATGCTTTAAAATCATGTGAATGGCCTGAACAAATCTGTTCCTGTTTGATGAGCGGGTTGGAAAGGCAAATAACTACATTATGTATGAATTGCTCCATAAGCATTTATGCTCTGGTGCTTCAAACCTGAATCGAGTCAGGAGACCCATGTCTCTGAACAGTAAGAAAGGTAATAAGCAACTACCCTCTTTCAGGTGTGATTTCTAAAGAGGTTTCTTGTAGGACTTAAGGCTACTTGGAAACTAGTGAGGCATGCATAGCAGGAACACTGACTGAGAAATTCCAGTTACCTGTCGGATGGGTTCACCAAGGCTTTCCAAAGTTCCCGGATAATTCTCAATGAGTGAGACATGGAGGTTGTTTTCTGCTCTTCGAGTGAGTGCAGACACAATGGCATAAGCCTGCTCCAGTAAAGTGCAGTTTTGGCTATTTCTGGCTTTGTTTCGGATTAATTCCTGTAGGTGAATGAAGAAAATGTTACTGGGCAGGCAGAAAAAAACAAATACATTTCCTTGATAGTCGAAGAGTTCCTCAATATCTGTTCCATCTCCTTCCATTCTTTCACTAATTGCTGCTTAGCTGCTAAAGTCTCTTCTTTCCTGCCCATTCTGCAGCCTTCACGACTAACAGTTTGGCTTTTCCTTACAACAATCGACCTAAATGAAGACAAAGTTGAAGAAAATACCAGCTATATTTCAGTGACCGAAAATCAAGCCCACCCAAAGCAATCCTGAAGGTATCCATTGCATTTCTCTTGTGCTTACCCTGACGATACCAGGAGGCAAGCAATTCATGTGGCTGTGCTAAACTAAGAGTCAATATTAGATTAATAAAAAGAGAGGTTGGAAAAAATATAAAATGCCAGTTATTCTGTTCTTTTCACATTTGTTGCTGTTCCTCTCTTTTAGCAATGAAGGTATGGAAAGTGCCCATGTTTGCTCTCTCTTCCAAAAGACTCTTAAACTGGTGTTTCTGTGCAGGCATATGTTCAAAATTAGAGAGTTAATGTTCTTCAAATTATTCAAACTCCTCATTTATGTAACACCAGACTACAAAAATATTTTGGGACGACTGTCTTCTTCCTGGATATCCTAATGCTATTTCCCACAAAAAAATACTATTTAAAATGCTACTTTGAAATGCTTCTTTGTGGTCTGGACTAGAACCTGAGATAGTAGGACAGAAGAAATCTTGAAAAATGAAACATTTCAAGATGGTAGAACGGGATAAAGCTCTTCAGAAAAGAAAAATTTCATCTTATTATAATGTCAGTATAAAGCACAAGGAAAGAAAAGTGGTAAGTCAACATCGGACGCACTGGAAACTGCTTATTTTTAAAACATACCTGTTGCTGAGTGTGAAGCAAATTCATACTTGTCATGGAGCTCTACATACATGTATTCATATATACGTGTATAAGCATATATTTTTATATATGTACATGCATATATTTAAAGATCACTCAGATAAAGCTGGCTGAACTTTATGGGATTGGCGACTGTGGACCTCTACCTGGATTTACATTTACAAAACTATTTAGAGACCACCTTCACTCATGATGATTACTGTCTTGTCTTCCTCAAGCAGCTTTTAATTGTAGTTGCATAGAGGGAAACGAAGAAATACGGAACAGAAATAAAGAAATAAAATCTTTTTCTACACAAGCTGCACAACGCAGAACATAAAACCTTTCAGATATGAGTGTATAACAAAAGCTCTTCACCTTGATTATAGTTTGATACTGCTGGATCCTGTTGATGGGTTTTTCCAGGTAGTGCTGCAGTGGTGGGATAAGTGGCTGTGAAGGATCCTCATAAGGTAAAATTTCATCCGTGTACCTCTGAAAAAACACATAAGAATGAGGAAATGTTGTTATAAAGAACAATAGAAAAGATTACTCCCTGGAAAATGCTCATGTGATGCTGGTTCATAGACATAACTCAGCCAAAGCTGGATAGCTCTACCAGACCTTATCACCCCATATTTTGGACATCTGTAACCCTCTCCCATCCTTTATCTGTCTGTCATTTTAGACTGTAAGATGTCTGAAATGCTGAATTTATCTGCTTTTCCAATGCAGGACTGACGCTGGGAAAATGTGATCCAAATCTTGCAGAACCAGAGGGTGTGACGGGAAAGGTGCTTTTGGCTGGTGGGAGGACAGGAGTGAGTGAACTCAGTGCCAGAAACTGGTGCCAGACCTTGGCTGAGAGTAGTCCGTGTGTTTGCAGTGCCAGCAACTGGAGTGAATGAGGGTCTCGACACCGGCACCTGGAGTGGGAAGCACAGGTCACAGGTTCCATGGACTGGGACATCAGCCACTGAGCTGGATGTTTATCCTTTCCAACTGACCTGGTGCATGTGGGTGCAAATGTGTGCAAACCACCAGCAAACTTCCAGCTGGACTAGCTACAAGTAGGAGATCCAGGATCTGGGCATGGACATTAGGGAGACTGAGAGCTTGTACTGATAATTTGAGGGGTCTGTGAACATGGGGTGAGGGTGAACACGTGCATTTATTTTCTAGCGAGTGTCAAGCTGGACTAGCTGGTGAGTAGGAGGCTCATGGAGAGGGGAAATGTGCTCAGGATCTGGGTATAGGTATAGGATCAATAGACGGGCCACGCTGCTACTCAAGAGATCCACGAACATGCTCATGGAACATGCTCATGGATCTGGAGCGTTGTGTTTGTGTTTTCACTAGTGAACTTCAATCCTGAGCAGCTGGAGCAGAGAAATAGGATTTGCCTATCTGTGCTTATGTTTTATGTGAGTTCGCTTGGTCTTACAAAGTGGCCTTAAAACTTGGTCTTAAGGTGGCCCTTAAAACATCCCTTAATTACAATTACATAATCACAGCCACATTCATACCTGTAGAGTCTTTATAATATTCATAAATGCATTAGAATATGTAAACATGTTCCCATATTGATTTTATCTACCAGGAAGAGGTAGAGAGTGAACATAAAATTACTATATTTAGCAAAGATTATCCACAAAAAAATTTAATAATCCTGTTCAGGATCACATTTGTGATTATTAACTACATTTATTGATGCAGTGGGTTATAGGATGCAAGTTCCACAGGTACTTTGGCTAGTGTTTTACCCTGTAGAAATCCTGGACAGCTTTGCTGACAACAATTGACTCAGCCTGTATCCGCCCCACCAGGTACTGGATGTACTTATGAAACTCTGCTTCGTGCTTGATAAAACACATGGCCACGTCATCATCAGTGTCACATTTCTGCAAGCCTCGGAGGAAGACACTGTGGAGACAAAGAAAAAAGGACATCTGAGGAGAAAGTGATGGAATGAGGCTGGAACACAGCCCCAGCAGCTCAACCTTTAAATCAAGTGACTTCAGGTTAATACAGGTTAAAGGAAATGACAGGGAAATGAGGGATGTTGCCACATTAGGATTAAATGTCTCAATGCCTCTTTATCCAGCATGATGCTGTCCCTCAGCTTGAATTTATGAAATGCCTTGCAAGAAAAGTAGGGATAACTTTCTAGGGCTTAGCTCAAGTTGAGAAGTTAACTCCTCTCCAGATCCTTATGCCTCAAGTGTAAGGATCAATGAGCCATCCACATGAGTGAAGACAGAGATCTCCACTGTTTCAACAAAGGACGTTGAAACAGGTTCAGATGGACAAGGATTTTTAGCAGTGTCAGCAGCTAATGACATATATCAGCTCTAGCAGTTGAAGTGAATTTGGGGGAAAAACAGAAAGAGCTGGAAAAGAGACAGAGAGAGGAAAGAGAAGGGAAATCTATTCAAGGCCAGGTTGGATGAGGCTTTAGACAACCTGGTGTAGTGGAAGGTGTCCCTGCCCATGGCAAGGGGGTTGGAAATAGATGATCTTTGAGGTCCCTTCCAACCCAAACCATTCTGTGATTCTATGATTGATTCTATGATTCTATTCTCAAGGCTCAGCCAGGAAAAGATCCAGATATCCCACATAAGCATCCTACCCCTTGCAGAATTGGTCCTCCCCATAATGCTTTTCTCAGAGTAACTGTACTTTTAATTGCAACCTACTCAAACTCGTTATTGGTTGCCTCTGCTTACGATGCTACCAGCACTGATGAGAGCACATGTTCATTGGGGAAGAGGTTGCACGCTCACTGGTTGTTGAGTTTTGTGTGTGCATATTATTGTCCCCTTGCTAAGGGAAACCAAAAGATAGTGCCACAGGATAGGAAAACAAGGAAGAAAGGGTGATTCTTGTGCTGTTGGCAGGGATTTCCCATGAGAGCAAGGGTATCAAGGTGCAGGAAGCCCTCTAGCAATGGAAGGCCTAAAGCAAGCAAGACATTGTATGACACCTCCTCTTCCTGGCAAATAGAAGTATTTCAGCCTGGACCCTGGGAATTCACTTTGTGAACAGCAGATCTGCAGGAAATCATTTCTTGGGGTAGGTGGAGGCATTGTGCTGTGGCGTTGTACCTGGGCGGCCTGCTACAGCTGGGTGTGTTGTGAATGCACGGACGCCGGCATCAGTTTTAGATGGATGTGTGTCTCTATGGAGACACCACTGAAGTAAGACCATGCTGCCTTTTTATAATAATTCACTGTTTCTCAATTAAATTTGCTTAAAAGAGTAAGAAATAAGCTGGACAGACGGAGCCTTGAGGCTCTGATGGGTATTATGGGAGTCCCAACCCTGTACTCTGACTTAAGCTCTACCATCATCTCTCATCCCAAAAGGACCATCAATTCCCTTGCACCTCAGCACTGCCAGTGCTCCACATCCTTCACAGTAATAACAATTACTATGGCTCTGACACCAGGTATGTGAGCCACTCTTTGGTCTCAAATGAAGGCACATGGGGATGCCTACCTGGAATGGAAACGAGCAATGTCATCAATATTTCTGAAGATGGTGGATTTCTGGCTGGCGACAGCTCCTGGGACGTTGGGACAGGTCTCAGTGTACTTAAGATGATGAGTCTGGAGGAACTGTAGGTCTTGAATGTAATCCTCTTCTGAGATCAACAGCTCTTGAATAAGAACGCTGAAGAGAAAATGAACAGGCAAAAAGAAAGCACAGAACAATCACCACAATTATCCTTGACATGCTGAAAGACTTTTAGGCTCTAAAACAGAGATACTTGATCAGAGGAACACACTCCTTGGAGTCTGTTGACTAGATCCCCTCTGATCATAAGAGGAACTTAGGTCAGGAACTGCTCATGGAGTGACACCTACAGACATCTGCTGTTAGGGCAGACAAAACAAAGCATGAGCAACAAAAGGATTTATGTAGACAGCAGCAACTTCAATGCCACTTCATGGAATCAAGGAAACAAATATCTCTATGACAGCACTCTCAGTAGTGTGCTGCACTGCAAGGAGGTAACACAAGGTTGTAGCTGGTCTTCTGACAGTGCTTTCACTCCCTCCTTAGACATCATCCTCAAATATAGAGCACCCCAAAGTACAGAGGTACTGAAGTTTAGGATTTTTGTGAAGTCAGAGAGCTTCCAGAATTACATCATGTAAACTCTTTCAAGTCACCCAATATGATTCAGTGACTCCGACAGGAGGGACTTAGATGCCAACATTCACGTTAGTTCAAAAGGCAGAAAAACTCAAAGGTGCAAATACTAAAAGACATCAGTTCACCTTAGCTTCCTTTTATATTCATCTTCAGAAACAAATTCTCCAGGGAACTCAGGAGCTTCTGTTGTTCCCCACTCTGGTGACAACTAAAATACAAGAAAAAAAGAAACATTATTCTTTGAAGTTAACAGTGCATGGGGAGGAATATCCCTGGTGTTTTCAAGAGTTCCTTTCAAAAATTCCTAAACCAGTGTGAAATTTCTTTTTTTGCTGGAGGATGATTAGGTCTTTCAAACCCAGGCACCCCTACACACATACAGAAATGCTGTCTAATCAAAACATCAAAAAGCCCAATTGCGTTACAGACCCCTTCAGCAACCTCCTTGTCCATCACTCCATGGCTCTAAACTGCAACAGGA